CACATACAGTACGACCCAAAACACACACATTTAAGTTCATGTAAACGCAGATACTTTGTGCACATGTGCAAACAACATACAGGCATTTAAGGCTCTGATGCACATGTTAGCAAAATATGTGAGACTTAACACCAGTAGATTTGAAATAATGTACCTTAATTTGTTACCTACAATTCTAATTTACAGAATTAGACAAAAACAACAGTGATGTACTCACTCAACACTCCTGTATTATGGCAAACATACGTATTACTTAGGTGATTTTAATATAATAGTAATATTGTAATATTTGATTAAGGTTAAAATAGGCTGTTTATGCCCGTGTAATCTTCCATATCGTTGTCTTTGTTCCAGGACCCTTGTTTGAAACATAGATAACAATATTAGATTTGTTTTATCATAAATATGCTCACAGCTTATTTAGCTCTACAATAGGTTTATTAAGATAGAGAACAAGATACAAAAAAGCCTTATAGATTTCAATCTGGAAGTGTTCTCCATTACAATTAGCATGTCATTTGCACTAAAAGGCCCTCAAAACACATACAGACCACAATTGTATTGAATCCAGACTCATTACAGTGCACCTTGACTAAGCCCCAGTAATTAGCATTGGTAAGGCATTGTACAAGAGGCGGCAACACCCTCATCAACACACATTTACAACAGAGCTCTAAATCTGCTGCTCATTAATAGCTTGCCTCCCAATCAATTATTAACACCTACAATGGGAGCCAGGCTCACCAGGGCCAGGCCTCTCACTCCAGGCAGACCGTGGGCCAGCTTCTGCTCCCGGTTCTGTCCAGCGTAGGTAATTACCCGCCTTTAAAGACACCTGCTACTCAATAGCTTCGACCCAGACTGTTAATATTTGGCCCCCCGATTGCAGACATTTATGTCTGAGTGTCACTATTAATTTGCGTTAATTTGGGAGAGTGTAAGGGAGTCGGGCGGAGGCGTTGTCGGCAGCCGGCTTGAATGTGCTCGTCGCTCACCTGCGCCGGGGCTGCGGCTGTAATTGGAAGTCTAATGGTCTGATGATCAGTGAGAGAAGTGAGGGATGAGACGGCACTCTGGCAGCTCCATCAGTCAGACAGAGAGCAGAGCAGAGGAACAGAGGGGAGAATGTGGCTGACAACAAGCAAACGCCAACTCTTAGTGTTTCATTCTTTCTCCATCTTCTTCCTCTTTCAAATGTTTTTGTATTGCTCTCTGTTACTTGCTTTTGGCCCTTACTCCTCTGGCTTCTTACCTTTGCCTAGCTTAATACAAAGTGCTTTAACCCGGTCCAGTAAGTTAGTTTTCAGTTCAGAGTTTGGTTTCTGACTTGCAATCTAGTATGGTTAGGGTTAGACTTCTGTTTCTTTGATTAAGGCTTGGCATCTCAATTTGTATCATTATCGTCTCAAAAACATTACATGTTACATTTGATCTGTATTTGGACCAAAAGGTACTAAGTCTTATAGTTATATAGACAATAGTTTTGCACGATGTCTGATATCTGGATCTATTTCAACTCATTTTGGCCAACTGTCGATGTTGATATAGACGCAAATCATTTTCCACCTAACTGCAGAGAACATCAAGTCTCCTGTAGTGAAACATTTCCTTTATCTTTTTGGCCTGTCATATAGAAAAAAATCACTTTTCTTGCTTGGATTTATTTTTAAAGCTTTTATCTTCCAATACTGATGACCTGTTGTTATCTTTGTGCATCTCTAATAAAGAACGTATAAAAACACCACGATAAAAAAAAGCCTTATGATCCCTCCAACACAATTCAATGTGATTGTGTTAACAGGTCTGCACCAACAATAACTATAACTCCAGCGCCTCATGCCAGGCTGAGCCGTGGGGTCTGCAGACCTGCCACGGCCGACCCATCAGCTGTGAAATCTGCTTTCCTCTTTGATAAACGGTCAAGATGTGACCCTATCTCTGTCCTGCAGATGCCCAGATTTCCTGTCATGCTTTTTCCCCCTCTGTTTTTTCCTGCTTCCTCCCCTCCTCCCCCCTGCTCTCCTTTTTCATTCTTTCTTTTTCAAGCTTTACACCTCTCTTTCCAGCCTGTCTGAGACAACTGCATGCAACGCTCCACTCACTGTTCTTTTTCTCAGCATCATCCATCACTCCGGTCAGCTGCTGAGACCTGTCTCCCCCCAGCAGCCAGCCCACATATCGGCTCCCACGCCACGGCACATACAGCTAGCTCCAGCTCCTGCTCCCATTTGCTGCCTCCAGGGACCGGTGACCCTCCCCTCCTCCCCCCATCCTTTCCCCACCTCTCCATCAGACTCCCCAGGACGACTCCCCAGACACCATCCGGACCCGCTCCTAAACGTCTCTGCTTGAGCCAAAGTGCTACTCATGTCCAGTTGAATGCTTAAATTTACCGTATTTTCATTATTTACTATAAGCCACTTTAAGAAGACATTACACCTCCGGGCACAATGCCAAGAATTGCCAACCTGTGCACCGCCAGACGGCGGCTCAACCAAAATAGCTTGACCTCTAAAAAGTAATATCTTAAATGACGTGTCTGGATGAAGGATAAAATATGTTTGATTTCAGAGAGGGCATATCAATATCTCAGCAGCGCGGGTCGTGTGTTCCAGGCACGAGAGAGGTGTCACTCCTGCCATATACTCGGGGTAATTCATTCACCTCAATGGATTCAAAAAATCTAAGAGAGTGAAAGGACATTTAATAGTCTGTGGAGGTCACACTTCATAAGAATGACTGAGACCCGTGAAGCAATGAGCCTTTATTTCTACCTCAAACGCTTCTGCTGCCTTTCTGACCCTCCTCTGGACGCCCCTGACACGCATCAAAACTAGCCCAGCTTTTTTCCCCCCTTCTTCTTCTTTCTCTTCTCACACTTACATTTTTGTTATTTCAACCTCTTCCAGGTGTGGCATCAGGGATCTTGTCTTGATATGTCAGTGTTTGAAGATTTCCAACCAACTCCCTCGCTCCTACTGAAATAACTGAGATAAATGCGGCTCCACATTACAGATGTTGCCAACGGCTGCTTGTTTAACAAGGCAACAGCTCAATAACTGCAGGTTTCTATTTAAACAAAAATAAAACTATGCTTCTGTAAAGTGATACGATTCCCCCGCGATGTACAAATACCAGAATTGGCTGATATTTTCTGGCTTAAGGGAACAAAGTTAAAAACCCCTAAAGGAGGCTCACTAAAACAAAACATGCCAGTTGGGTTGACCTAGCCTTTAATGAGAGATAGTGAGAAGCTGCTAACAGCCACTACCCCATTTGAGAGATGAAACTTAAGAGAGGAGGAGGGGCAAGCAGCAAAGCATTGAGAGGGGCCCCAGGAGAATAGACACACATGAGATCCTTAAAGGCAATGTGCCAAGCTTCTTCCTCGGCTTTTAATTGCGAGGGGGTTAGGCATATTCTGTAACCCCTCCACAGCCAATTACAGGTGATGACCAGCACCTGCTTGCTTAAAAAAACCTAAGGAGGATGTGGAAAAGTGGCGATGAATTCCTGACGAGGGCAGTTAGTTAGGAGCCAAGAGCAACAATCAGTTTGTGCATCTAGTTCAGCATGCGGTGTGAATAATTTGTAAAGTTTGTATCTACCAAAAGACCCAACAATTCAAAGAGATAAAATACATGACATCACGAGAGTCATTTGAGGGACAGTTGAAGGTTGGTATTGGATGCCTTTTTTCAGGGAAATCCATGCCGAGATTTGCTGAAAAAATATATCTGAGTGTTACTTTGGAAGGCAACTTGAGGTGTTTGCTCTGTAAAAAATAATTGTTCTGCCCATGGATAACTGGCTTTACCCTGAGAGAAGCCGTATTTCATGGCTATAATACGGCCTGAGTATTGAAAGCCACTGATGACTTCAAAACCAAGAGGGGAGCTTAGAAAACAGTCCGTGACTGCTCTGAAAACGATTTAATAAAGTTTAAGGAATCTGGGAAAACGCGTGGAGGGCCTCTGAGTCCCACAATCCTCATGGACTGTCCTTATGTTTCTAACAGGATGAATGGGATCTTGGTTACAATTTTAATGGAATTTCTTACTTATCCGAATGCAGAATGAGGAATCAAACCCGTGAGGGCTTGTCACTCAACAGAGCAGCAGGTCAACACAAGCCTCTGCTGGGATCTTTTGGAACAAGAGATATAAAAGCTGCTGTGTTGCAGGTGTAACATCAAAAATAATGGTTGTGACTTCACTCAACTGAAGCCTGGACTGAGGCTCAAACATCCACAAATGAGAAGTGTTTTGTCATAAAATATGCAGATTAAATGGTTTTAAAATGGATGCACTTCAAAGGCTTTTGTTGTGGGCCAGTTGGATCCCGCCACAGTCACCTCAGTATGTTCGCCTGTCATGGGAATTACCATTAATATGGTCTTTAGATAGTACTGTAGGACTTTCCAGTAATCATGTTTCCATGGTTGCTAAAGGCAAAGGTTGACCAAATGAAGTGATTTCAGTCCAAACTAAATCCTATAAAATATGGCATCATTTATAAGAGATTTTATAAATGTGTAAATAGTGGCTTAATAGGGTGGATAAATCAATCGATTTTTATGTCAGTAAAAAAGTCCTCACATGTACCACACCGATAGACAGTTTGATCACTACCTTGTGAAATGTGCTTCAGAGCAAAGTTCATTTATAATAAATGAGTAAGATCAAATATAATACCTTGCAATTAACCTTTAAATAGAGCCCAATCAGTTGTGTATGTTACAGCTTGGACAGCCAAGGAAGAAGTTGGTTTTCAGTGGTTTCATATCATGGGGCAGGTACAATTTATTCTTCACTTGGGTTAAAATTGCCATATGGGCCATTTGGCGTTGGTATATAGTAAAGGTCTGTGTTGTCTGAGTGCCCTACTAGTTGTATGAATTGTATCCATTTGTTTCTAACCATCAAGTTTGTTGTGGTGGGTTAATATAACAAAATGTTTCTCAAATATTCAATTTGATTCAGTAGATGCTTAAAACATACCAGTGTAGTGTTTTCAGGGTTCATCTCGATCTTCCCCTCGAACGGTCCCCACGTGGTCCCCACAGGGAGCTCCTGCCGGGTTTGGATCCGACGCTCGCCTTCTTTAAGGAACGTATCCAGCTCTCCTAGAAACAAAGCAGAAACCAAAGCAGTAAGCCTTAGTGCTCCAGTTCCACATCAAATCACAGTGACGTTCATTCGTTGTCCTTTAAACTCAAGCCTACATGTGCGATTATATGATTGCCCTCAAAGCTCTGCGGTAAACAGTGAAGGTTACAGCCAAGGGTTTTTTCAAAATGGATAAGCAAATCAAGTGAGCATCCATCTGATGGTGTTCCTCAGACACATGGCGCGCTAACCTTACTTGAAAGGTGTCTTGTGTGGAGAATAATCTCTGTGAGACAGTGCAGGCTCGCTGGCTTGCGAGAGCAGCTAGTGGCAGGCTTATTGCTGTTGCTTCCAGGAAGACTGGGCCTTGTTAGTGCTGTTGCAGAGCTCCAGTTAATTAACAGTGAAACCGGGATAGCACTGGAAGAACTAACCGGTGCTCACCTCCCTGTCACCCCCGCACTATCTTATCTCTTAGATTCAGTGTACTTTTTTGGGATGGTGATTAATCAAATAGTTATGACAAACCCCTTGGCAGGCCGTGACATAGTTTTCCAGAGAGGATGTTTCCCTGCGTGTTGGTGTGTGCAAGTGTCTACGAGTGTGTGTCGAAAGGTTCTCAACTGTAGATTTCCGTCTGGTTGCCTTGACAACTCTGAGAAGTCTTGTTAGAGGAAGTGTGATAGTTCAGACTTCTGTAGCTATAAGTTATATCTGATTTGATAAACTTTCTGGACACAAGAAGTTCCACAAACTGAAACAAAGGATGTTTGAATCAGGTCTGAGCATCGACTGTGTTTAAGAAGCGGACAAAGTCACCATGATGGCACCCATTGGTTTGAGGAGTCCAATTATAAGGCCTAAAGTCTATTGTTAGGGCCATCACTAAAAAACATTTTTGATCCAGAAGTGAGAAGTGAGAGTACAACCAAACTAAAACAAATGTAACAAGACATTTATAGAAGACCAAAATGTACACACTTTAGGTTTTCTTGGGATTGAAAAGGGTTTATAAAATGTAAAACTACTTATTGAGAACATAAACATATTTACTAAGGTCAGATATTAGGGCCAGCTTCGGAAAATCATCATTATTATGGGATCCTCCAACATAAAAATTGACCTTTTACAAGGAAGCCAACCTGCCAGAAATTGATAATCTAGCCAGGCAAATAAATCTAATGTATTAGTAATCAAACAAACTCTACATGAGTTTGTTAACATTGTGTCTTTTTAACCTATTTGTCCACACATGTGGCTAATAGGTATTCAGGGCATTCAGTTCATGCTGGATGGGCTGAAGCGATCACTGAACTTTCTGATGCGTATGTGGTATAATGACCTATTCAGGCCCTGTTCTACTTGGTAAATATCAGCCGTGTATCTGCGGCACGCTATTGTTGTCCGTCTGTTGTGCTAATATGGAAATGTACGCTTATGTGCTCCTTTGCATGCATAGACATGATCAAAACATCAGGTTTGTATTATTACCCTCTACAAATGATGTCTCTTTCATAATATACTCATTGATGGTGGTCACTACACAAAAAGCTAAATGTCAGCTATAATAAAAATGCCCTTGTTTGACCACATCTTACGTAAAAAACTGCATCACCACCACATGGTCTAAACACAAGTAATTTTTAAGAGGAAATGCAGGCACAGTTTTGGAATAGACCCAACAATAAGATAATCTGGACAGCGTTATCTCGTTCTTTCTTTCACTCTGTCTCCCCTCCCGTGTTCCATGCTGTCTTCCCGGTGCTGCAGTGGAAGGTGGGTAAGCTCATTACAGAGAAATAATTAAACATCGGTGCACAGCTGGTCGTCATCACGGAGAGCAACAGCCACCGCTTGATGCATTCTGTTTGTCCTCAGATAAGACCCACGGCCTTTAACCGCTTGGATGCAAGTTCCTGTTTAGCCCCGCTTGACAAACAGCACAAGCCATCCTCAGCCAAACGATTCTGATTCCTTTCCTTTACCCCTTTCTTTCTATTCGTGGGGGGTGGGATGCTTGGACAAAACGGGGTAATGTAGGTGCAGAAAAGGGGGGGAAAACCAGGGTTCGATTCAATTTGTGCAGTTTGTCGTCAGCCATGTTTAGATGCCAGTTGTGTGCATCTCTCACCAAATGTTGCCTGAGGAGCTTGGCTCACAGATGGTTTGTCACATCTGTTGCAGATACTGGTGGAGGATCTCCACAAAAACACGCGTGGATGAATAATGAGTTCCCTTCATGTACTATCTGCTTGTTCCCTATGAGCATTTGAAAGTTTAGTAATATTGAAGACATTTACCGACAGATGTGTTCTGTTATCAACTGGGCTAGTAACCATTTTTTGAATTATGGCGGAAAAAACTGTTGATGATTTAATGTCCGACAAGCCCAACAATTCCAACTCTTTTACAGAAATCACCTTTCCAACAAGAATGGACAAATAGAAGAACCCAAAGCCGGTGTCCTTATTCAACGCTCCTCATCATCTGATTCTCAAATGCCACACACTTGGCAAAACAGAGCTTGTGATGTGGCTCAAGAGCTGTACCCCCTCCTCCAACCAGACCCTGTACCTTCACCCTCTGCACCTCAGACCCCCTCCTCAACCCTACCACCTACCCCCGACGCCCCACCCTTCCCTCGATAAGATCATCATCTGTCACTAGACTCTAGGGTCTGTTCCTGCACTCCATAGATACTTGGCAACCCTATGAATGTCCCTTTGTGTGGAGAGATCCTCCTCAGATAGCACCCAAGATGCGCCACGCTGGCATCTGTTTGTTTTGAGTTTTTTTGTGCTTTTTTAATGTGTGTCCTGTCTTTCTTTTCTGTTATGGTTTATAGGAATAGGGAACCTCATCTCTCCCTATAATGGCACAAGACTGAATACTAATGAGTTACTTAGTGGCAGGATGCCAGCCTGGTATGATTTTAAAAGATAACTGGAATGTTGACTGACAGAGACCTTAAAACAGTTGAACTATCTTTACACTTCTAAATGGTATTGTTAGATATTTAAGCGTCAAATAACAATAATTGTTTTCCATATCAATTAATCTGCCTATTATGTTATGGATTCATCAATTGTTTGGTCAACCTTCTTTTAATCAAACAGGTTTGATATAAGTCTGCAACTGAAATGCTCTTAAAATTGCCTTTTTATTTTAAATGCAATGACAAATTCACATATGACATCAGTACGAATGACTCTATTAACCACGTGAACTGTAAGCCTGATTTCTTTAATATCTCTACTGGCCCAGAGTAAGGAAGTGGTCACAGATGACAAATTACATCATCAACTTGCTACCGCAGATTAACATTTGTTAAAGAAATAGATCAGTTCGGGCTACTTTCAACATGAATTTGACTTCTCTAACTACTTCACCGAACAAAGTTAAAGGAAAATACATTTCCTATGAACATATATTTGGTTTACTCCTCCTTTTATCTTAAGTAAGGAGAATTATGGGTAACAAAGAATGACACCAGTAAAAACAATTGCGAAAATATGTTTGAGCTTCGAACGGCAGGTGATCCCTACTGATATCAAGCAGTACCTTTGATTCAAAGCATATAAATGTCTGCTGTTCAAAGTTCAATAGCCTGTGTGTGGCAATTCACAGATGTCCTACTGAATCCCAGTCATCTCCGCTGACAAGCTGCATTATAGAGCCAGCAAATGGGCTATAAATTAATATACCATGAGAGAGGCATATGGGGTGGAATGGAATGTACTGTATCGGTTCAACAAAAGGTGCCACATCTTTAAAGCAGATATGTGATATGAAATTTTACAGCTGAAAGAGAAATGTCACAGAGCTCTGATAAGAGAGCGATGAAACTTTTCTTCCCCCCTACCCAAACCGCTATTATCAGGTCCTAGTGAGCAAAACGCATCATTTATAACCCACAACCCTATTATCTCTGAGCAAGGTACTTGTTTTAAAACAGTGGAGGACCCTCACCACCATCATCTCCTCCTCACCCTCCTCCATCTTCCCCAGACCCACCCTAACCCGCCTATATGTGGCTGCTTCTGGCCCTGAACAGCTGGGAGAAAGTTAACAACCGTAGGAGTTTGGTCACGTGAGGAGGGGGGGTGATTTGGTAGTGGGGTTCACCCCTTCAGGTCAGGCTTGTTGTCAGGCTGTGGCGGGCTTGGGGGGGAAAGAGTTAAACAAACCAAAGGGATTAGGGCCTTTTAGCTGTGACACTCCACTCAGGCTGAGCAGGGGGCTGGGGGGGCCGTTGTGGAGGGATTGGAAGGGGCAGAGGACTCAAACCCCCCTCTTGTAGAAGGACCCAACACAGTATTGTTTTCAAAGACACAGCTAGGAATACAGGTGTTTCAAGCCCATCTCCAGACAAAGATATCCATATTGGACCTGAAAAAAACAACAGAATGTATTCAATGTTTATGCTTTTTAAATGTGTGGTGTCTACATTATATCTGCAAAGACAAAAGTAAGACAATTTGTATTTCTGCTGGAGAGTTGGAAAGTAAAAGCTAAAACCTACAAACCATTCATTTCAAAGCTACAGCTAGCAGCTGGTTAGCTGAGCTTCGCTTAGCATAAGGGACTTGACACAAGGGGAAACAGTTAGCTTAAATGTATTAAAACGTGGTGAATCCGCCAACAATCACCTCACTAATTAACTGATCTCTTTTTTGTTTTATTCGTACAAAAACAGGAGTTTACAAAAGGCAATCTGCCTTTTTACAGGGGGTCATGTGGCCAAACATACTTTTGCTTGGCATATACATAGAAAGAGTTCAGAATACACTTTGTACTGTAAATGTTGTTGTTTGTCCAGTTCGAAAGAAAATGGCCATGCCGTTGTTAGCTTGCATTCACAGTTCTTTGCTATGACATCAGTAGACATACAAATGTCCTCTCTGAACATCCTGCTATCTGGATTTGAATGGGAATGTCGGTTCTACTCTCATTCTGTTTCTACTGTATGTTTAACACACAACCCCTCCAAAAAATGGGGGCTGTTTTAACACTTCAC